CTCGCCAGGCTAGGCCATGGGAGTCTCTGGACTTTTCAACGCCCCGCAGTTTTATTCAGTTGAGGCCCAGATTACTCTTTTAGTCAATAAGCACTATCAGCAATTGGAAGGCAGAATGGGATAGTGAGTAAACTCCAGGGCACTGGACTCCAAACTGGGCTCAGTTCCCTTCTCAGGCACTGTACTAGTCAAGGTTTTCCAGAGAAACAAATTCCTTTCTCCTGGTGGACCTCAGTCTTTTCTCTTAAGACCTCAACTGATTGGTTGAGGCCCATGCACATTATGGAAGGTAATCTGCTTCCCTCAAAGTCTACTGATTTTTTAAGTATTAATCTCATCTGCCATCAATCGATTGTGTACCCCCCAAAATTCAGATGTTGAAACCCTAATCCCAGTGTGATGGTACAGGAGTATTAGGAGGTGGGGACTTTGGGAGGTAAGTGAATCATGATGGCGGAGCCCTCAGGAACGGGGGCCAGAGAGCGGCTCGCTCTGAGGATGCAGCCAGAAAATGGCTGCCTGCAACCCGGAAGAGGGTTCTCACCAGAACCCAAACGTGCTGACACCCTAATCTCAGACTTCCAACCTCCAGAGCTTTGAGAAATCAATTTCTATTGCTTCGAAGCCACCCAGTCTGGCTTTGTTACAGCTGCCCCAGTTGACTAAGGGATCAACTAAAACACACGGTCCCAACGATGTCTACACTGATGTTTGGCCAAACAACTGGATGCCAGAGTCTAGCCAAGCTGACGCATAAAGTCAACCATCTCGGGCACTTAACTAGCTTTGTGACTCGGGCCTCAGTGACAGTCATAAAGTTGTTGGCAGGTCCGGCAGGGGCACATACACGAGTGCTTTGCACAGTGCCCAGCACGTGGTGGTGGGGTCGGGTCCCAGCGGGGCCGGGGCAGCGGCGTTAGGAAGGGAATCCAGGCCTCTGGACTCTTGTACAGGTGTCTGGCAGCTGAGCCACCTTCCCAACCTGGCACATGCCTCCCGCCAGCCTCAGGAGAAGGAGAGCAGCGTGGGGGCAGGGACCCGCCCTCATGACTCACTCCTGGCAACGCAGAAGCCACAGGTTTGAGTTGCCGCTCTCCACATGGCCGGACCGGGGAGGGGGTCACTTTTTTTTTTTAAGATTTTATTTATTCATTTGAGAGAGAGAGAGAGAGAGCATGAGTGGGGTGGGGAGAGGCAGATGGAGAGGGAGAAGCAGTCTCCCCGCTGAGCAGGGAGCCCGATGTGGGGCTCGATCCCAGGACGCTGGGATCATGACCGGAGCCAAAGGCAGATGCTTAACTGACTGAGCCACCCAGGCTTCCCTAGAGTTTCTGACTGAGCAGACCTGGGTGAGACTTAGGAGTCTGCATTTCCAATAAGTTTCCCGGTGCTGCTGCTGCTGATCCAGGGAACACACTTTGAGAACCACCGCTTTTAGGAAATAACACTGAATTTTTTTCAAAATATTTTATTTATTTATTTGAGAGAGAGAGAGAGTGCGAGTGCACAAGTGGGCAGAGGGGCAGAGGGAGAGGGAGAAGCAAACTCCCCGCTGATCAGAGAGCCCAATGTGGGGCTCGATATCAGGAACTTGGGATCATGACTGGAGCTGAAAGCAGATGCTTAACTGACTGAGCCACCCAGGTGCCCCAACACCCAATTTATGTTTTCTATTAAACTGAATCTCCATACGCAGAGTTTGCTTCACATGGGCTTCATGTGCACAGCGATTCACATCTTTTCATTCAAGGCGGGCACGGGGACCTGGGAAGCTTAGCGAGAACACACAATAGCTCATACAGGTTGGTGACTGAGAGTTGATGTCCTCCTCCTCCGTGGGCGTGGTGTAAGAGTCCTTTTTTGGGGGGAAAGGGGCAAAGGCAGAGGGAGAGAGAGTCCCAAGCAGCTCCAATGTGGGGCTCAATCTCACGACCCTGAGATCGTGACTTGAGCCAAAACCAAGAGTTGGATGCCTAACTGACAGAGCCACCCAGACGCAGCCTTAATTGCCAATCATGGATACCCGAATCGATCAAAGCAGAAGAGGTAATTTGTTGGGCGAGTTGGGGCTTCAGGCACAGCTGGGTCCAGGTGTCACCATCAGTATCAAGAATCTGACTGCATCTTTGGGCTCTGCTTTCCTCCTGTCGCCTCTACTCTCAGAAAGGTTCTCTCCCCACATGGTGACACAGTGGCCCCAGCAGCTCCACGTGAGGCTCAGGCCAACCCAGCAATCTCTGTGGCGACCAAGCTCCTTTGTGCCCCCAAACCAGCCAAGTCCACAAAACCACAGGTTTGCCCAGAACAGGGTGTGTCTTCCAGACCCAAGAGTAAAATGAGGTGTGCGCATGTCCTCTTGCCCCTGCACCCTTTAGAGCTTGAATGACAGATGCTCAAGGAACTCTGCAAGCTAGGGAGTGATGTGTGCTTCCTCCTGAGTCCCACAACACCACTAACCACAGAAATGAAGCCGAAGTGAGGGACTTGGGCGGACCGAGCTCTTCCCTGGGCCTCAGTTTTTCCATCTGTAGAGTAAGGAGCTTGTGCTGTTGTATATCGACCTCACAGCTCAGTCAGAAAAATGCAAATTAAAATAACAATGAGATCCCCTTTTCATCCATCAGGTAAGCAAAAAGTTGCAACAAGTGACCTCTAAAGTTAGAGAGGATGTGGGGAAACTGATATATTTGTGCATTACCTGTGGGAATGTGAATTGCTACAACTCTTGGGGAGAATAATGTGGCAATATCTTAAAATGAAAATATGTGCCCTGTGGGGCGCCTGGGTGGCTCAGTCGTTAGGCGTCTGCCTTCAGCTCGGGTCATGATCCCAGGGTCCTGGGATAGAGCCCCACATCGGGCTCCCTGCTCGGCGGGAAGCCTGCTTCTCCCTCTCCCACTCCCCCTGCTTGTGTTCCTTCTCTCGCTGTGTCTCTCTCTGTCAAATAAATAAATAAAATTTAAAAAAAAAAAAAAGAAAGAAAATATGTGCCCTGTTAGAGGTCAGGATAGAGGTACCCTTGGGAGGGTGGCCCAGGGGCACGAGGCAGGCTCCTCCAGTGCTGGCGATGTTCTGGGGGTTTGTTTTCTTTTATTTTTGAAGTACAGTTGACACAATGTCACATCAGCTTCAGGTGTACAACATAGTGATTCCACACGTTTATAGCTTCTGCTGCGCTCACCACAAGTGTAGCTCCCATCTGTCACCATACAACATTGTTATAATGCCATTGACCACATTCCCTGTGCTGCACCTTTCATTCCTGTGACTTATTCACTGCATAACTGGAAGCCCGTCTCCCACACCCCTTCACCCATTTTGCCCATCCCCCCACCCCACCCTCCCCTCTAACAACCATCAGTTTGTTCTCTGTATTTATAGGTCTGATTCCACTTTTTGTTGTTGTTGTTGTTGTTCATTGTTTTTTTTTTTAGACCCCACATATAAGTGAAATCATGTGGTATTTGTCTTTCTCTATCTGACTTATTTCACTTAGCATAATACCCTCTAGATTCATCCATGTTACAAATGGTAAATTTCATTCTTTTTTTGGCATATATATATAAAGAATTTGTGAGATAGAGATAGAGATTTATATGTGAGATAGATACATGTTCTATATATCTCACATATTCTTTATCCATTCTTCTACCCACGGACACTTAGGTTGCTTCCATATCCTGGCTACTGTAAATAATGCCACAATGAACATAGGGGTGCATTTATCCTGTTTTTGTTTTCTTCAGGTAAATAGTAGTGGAGTTACTGGATCGTATGTTATTTCTACTCTTAATTTCTTGAGGGACCTCCATACTGTTTTCTAGTGGCTGCACCAATTTACATTCCCACCCACAGTGCACGAGGGCTCCTTTTTCTCCATCACTTGTTATTTCTTGTCTTTCTGATACTAGCCATTCTGACAGGTGTGAGGTGGTTTCCCATTGTGGTTTTGATTTGCATTTCCCTGATGGTTAGTGATGTTGAACATTTTTTCATGTCTGTTGCCCATCTGTACATCTTCTTTGGAAAATGTCTGTTCAGGTCCTCTGCCTGTTTTTAATTGGATTATTTGCTTTTTTGGTGTTTGCTTATATAAGTTCTTTATGTATTTTGGATATTAACCCCTGATTGGATATATCACTTGCAAATACCTTCTCCCATTCAGTAGGTTGCCTTTTCATTTTGGTGATGGTTTCTTTCACTATGTAAAAGCTTTTTATTTTGGTAGAGTCCCAATAGTTTATTTTTGCTTCCCCCCCTTGCCTGAGGAGACCTTTCTAGAAAAATGTTGCTGATGTCAAAGAGATTACTATCTATGTTTTCTTCCAGGAGTTTTATGGTTTCAGGTCTCACATTTAGGTCTTTAATCCACTTTGAGTTTATTTTTGTGTATGGTGTAAGAAAATGGTCCACTTACATCCTTTTGCATGTAACTGTCCAGTTTTCCCAACACCATTTGTTGAAGAGACTCTCTTTGCCTCATTGTATGTTCTTGCCTCCTTTGTCATAGATTTGTTGACCACATAAGCATGGGTTTATTTCTGGGCCCTATTCCATTACATTAATCTATGTGTCCATTTTTGTGCCAGTACCATACTGTTTTGATTATTATAGCTTTGTAGTATATCTTGAAATCTGGGGTTGTGATATCTCCAGTTTTATTCATTCTCAAGATTGCTTTGGCTAATTGGGGTCTTTGGTGGTTCCATACAAATTTTAAGATTATTTGTTCTAGTTCTGTAAAAAGTACTACTGGTATTTTGATAGGGATTGCATTGAATCAATGTTCTGCTTCTTGATCTGAGTTCTGATCGCACTTTTGTGTTCTGTTTGTGAGAATTCATTAAACCGTACGTTTTTTATGATGCACTTTTTGATACATACGTTGTACTTCAATAGAAAGTTAAAATTATATATGCAATTCCTTTGATCCAGTTATTCTAGTTTTAGAACTCTATCCTATAAGAGTAAAAGCAACATTATGTATCGATATGTAAGGATTTATTCACAAGCATGTTTATTGGTTTACAGTTACATAAAAACTGAAATAACATGACTGCTCATCAGTGGAGATAAGTGAATGGACAAGGTCTATGCATGCTATGGAATCAGAAGCTGCTTATAAAAAAAAGTTGTATTGGGGCGCCTGGGTGGCTCAGTTGGTTAAGTGTCCGACTCTCGATTTCAGCTTGAGTTATGATCCCAGGGTTGTGGAATCGAGCCCCGCTCCCTGCTTCTCCCTGTCCCTCTGCCCTACTTGTGCTCTCTTTCACTCCATCTCAAATAAATAAAATCTTTTTTAAAAATGTGTACATATCAGGCGCCTGGGTGGCTCAGTTGGTTAAGTGACTGCCTTCGGCTCAGGTCATGATCTTGGAGTCCCGGGATCAAGTCCCACATCGGGCTCTCTGCTCAGCAGGCAGTGTTTCTCCCTCTGACCCTACCCGCTCTCATGTCCTCTCTCTCATTCTCTCTCTCGCTTGCTCTCAAATAAATAAAATCTTAAAAAAAAAATGTGTACATATCACTCCTGCCAATGTATAAGTGAATGGATAGATGATTTGTGAGGTCAATGGAAGTTAAAAGGGAAGGATAGGGACACTAATATCCTTATCTTAGTGGATGGTCTTGACATGGAACAATACACATGTGTACATACATAGATATTTACATTGAAATAGTTAATATATATTAAGTACATTTTCATATATACATATTCATTACATATTATTATATTTATAGGCCTACCTCATATAACTATGCTTTGCTTTATTGCATTTCACAGATAATTTCATTTTTCACAAATTGAAGGTCTGTGGCAACCCTCCCCAAGCAGGTCGATTGGAGCCATCTTTCCAACATTTGCTCACTTTTTGTCTCTAGGTCACATTTGGTCATTTCCACGAGATTTCTAACTTTTTCATTTACATTTGTTAAGGTGATCTGTGATCAGGGATCTTTGATGTTACTGTTGTAATTGTTTTGGGTGCCACAGACTGTGCCCATAACAACACAGTGAACTTAATAAATGTCATGTGTGTTCTGGCCGCTCCACTTTCCCCCATCTCTCTCCCTCCCTTCAGGCCTCCCTGTTCCCTGAGACACAACACTATTTTTAAAAATACTTTATTTATGTATTTGTCAGAGAGAGAGCACGCACAGGCAGGGGCACGGGCAGCAGAGGGCAAGGGAGGAGCAGGCTCCCCGCTGAGCAGGCGCTTAACCAACTGAGCCACCCAGGTGCCCCGAGATACAACACTATTGAAATTAGGCCAATTAAAAACCCTACAAATGGCCTCTAAATGTTCAAGTGAAAGGAAGAGGTGCATGTCTCTCTCTTTAGATCAAGAGCTAGAAAGGATTATTAAGCTTAGAGCAGAAAGCATGTCAAAAGCCAAGATGGGCTAAAAGCTACACCTCTTGTGTCAAACAGCAAGTCGTGAATGTAAAAAGAAAATTCTTGAAGGAAAATGAAAATGCTTCTCCAGTGAACACATGAATGATAAGAAAGCAAAATAGCCTTATTGCCGTTATGGGGAAAGGTTAGTGGTCTGGATGGAAGGTCAAACCAGCCACAACATTCCCTTAAGCCAAAGCCTAATTCCGAGCTCTCTTCAGTTCAATGAAGGCCGAGAGAGGTGAGGAAGTGCACTAAAGTTTGAAGCTAACAGAGGGTGGTACATGAGGTTTATGGAAAGAAACCATCTGCCTCACATAGAAGTAAAAGATGAAGCAGCAAATGCTGGTGTAGAAGCTGCAGCAAGTTCTCCAGAAGATCCAGCTGAGATCATTCATGAAAGTGGCTGAGTTACACAACAGATTTTCAGTGTAGGTGAGACAGCCTTCTATTGGAAGTAAATGCCATCTAGGACTTTCCTAGCCAGAGAGAAGTCATGCCTGGCTTCAAAGCTTCAAAAGCCAGGCTGACTCTCTGGTTAGGGGCTAATGTAGCCGGTGACTAAGTTGAAGTCAGTCTTCCTTTATTGTTCTGAAAATCCTAGGGCGCTGGGGCGCCTGGGTGGCTCAGTCGTGAAGCATCTGCCTTCAGCTCAGGTCATGGTCCCAGGGTCCTGGGATCGAGCCCCGCATCGGGCTCCCTGCTCGGCGGGAAGCCTGCTTCTCCCTCTCCCACTCCCCCTGCTTGTGTTCCCGCTCTCGCTGTCACTCTGTCAAATAAATAAATAAAATCTTAAAAAAAAAAAAAAGAAAGAAAGAAAATCCTAGGGCCCTTAGGCACCTGGTCCCCCAAGAGCTCTAATGGAGATATAGAAGGAGATTCATGTTATTACACTACAGACAGAACGGTTGGCAGCCCTGGATCAAGGAGTCATTTCAACTTTCAGGTCTTATTATTTAAGAAACACATTTCTTAGGTGCCTGGGTGGCTCAGTCAGTTAAGCATCTGCCTTTGGCTCAAGTCATGATCCCAGGGTCCTGCGATAGAATCCCACATTGGGCTCTCTGCTCAGCAGGGAATCTGCTTCTCCCTCTCCCCCTCCTCCCTCTCTCTCTCAAATAAATGAAATCTTAAAAAAAAAAAAATACATTTCTTAAGGCTATAGCTGCCATAGATGGTGATTCCTCTGATGGATCTGGGCAAAGTAAATTGAAAACTACTGGAAAGGATTCGCCATTCTAGATGTTATTAAGAACATTCGTGATTGGGGCACCTGGGTGGCTCAGTCGGTTAAGCGGCTGCCTTCGGCTCAGGTTATGATCCTGGAGTCCTGGGATCGAGTCCCGCATCGGGCTCCCTGCTCAGCAGAGTCTGCTTCTCCCTCTGACCCTCCCCCATCTTGTGCTCTCTCTCAAATAAATGAATAAAATCTTTAAAAAAAAAAAAAGAACATTCGTGATTAAGAACTGGCTGGGCTCAGTCGGTAGAGCATGTGACTTTTGACCTCAGGGTTGTAAGTTTGAGCCCCATGTTGGGTGTAGAGATTCCTTAAAAATAAAAAAATCTTAAAAATAAGAAAGAACACTCATGATTCATGGGAAACGGTAAAATATCAACATGAACAGGTGTGTGGAATAAGTTGATTCCAGCCCTCATGGATGACTTCGTGGGGTTGGAGACTTCCGTGGAGGAAGTAACAGCAGATGTGCTGGAAACAGCAAGAGAACTAGAAGTAGAGCCTGGAGCTGGGGCTGCATGGCTGCAATCTCATCATCAAACTTGAACAGCTGAGGAGTTGTTTCTTATAGGTCAGCAAACAAAGTGGTTTCTGGAGTTGGAGTTTACTCCTGGTGGAGATGGCTGAAATAACAACAAAGGATTTAGAATATTACATCCACTCAGTTGATAAAGCAGGGGCAGGGTTGGAGAGGATGGACTCCAGTTTTGAAAGAAGTTCTACTGTGGGTAAAATGCTATCAAACAGCATCACATGCTACAGAGACATCATCCATGAAAGGAAGAGTCAATCAGTGAGGCAAAATTTATTGTTGTCTTCAGAAATCACTGCAGCCGCCCCAACCTTCAGCAACCACCACCCTGCTCAGTCAGCAGCCATTGACATTGAAGCAAGACCCTCCACCAGCAAAAAGATGAGGACTTGATGAAAGCTCAGATGATGGTTAGATTTTTTTTTTAGCAATGAAGTATTTTTATTTTTTTTATTTTTATTTTTTTTAAAGATTTTATTTATTTATTTGAGAGAGAGAGAAGGAGAGACAGAGAGCACGAGAGGGAAGAGGATCAGGGGGAGAGGCAGACCCCCCACTGAGCAGGGAGCCCGATGTGGGACTCGATCCCAGGACTCCAGGATCATGACCTGAGCTGAAGGCAGTCGCTCAACCAACTGAGCCACCCAGGCGCCCAGCAATGAAGTATTTTTAAATTAAGGTGTGGACATCGCTTTTTTTTTTTAACCTAAGGCTACTGCACACTTAGTAGACTAAAGGACAATATAAACATTATTTTTATATGCTAGGAAACCAAAAAATTCATTTGACTCACCTTATCGCAACATTCACTCTATTGTGGGGGTCTGGAACTGAACGCATGAAATGTTTGAGGTATATCTGTACTACATATATAGTTTAACCAAAAACAGTGTTAATAGTGAGTGATACTGGGGCGCCTGGGTGGCTCAGTCGTTAAGCGTCTGCCTTCGGCTCAGGTCATGATCCCAGGGTCCTGGGATCGAGCCCCGCATCGGGCTCCCTGCTCCGCGGGAAGCCTGCTTCTCCCTCTCCCACTCCCCCTGCTTGTGTTCCCTTTCTCGCTGTGTCTCTGTCAAATAAATAAATAAAATCTTTTAAAAAAAAAAATAGTGAGTGATATTAAAGAGGCAAGGAGGGAAGTAGGGGGCTGTAAGTGGAAGAAGCCAGAAGATGATGCTGTAAATTGATAAATCAAGAAATAGTGATAGGAAGGTATTATTATCACATATCTGAGTAGCCACCAAAAGACAGTTACACAGGTTCCTTCTTGGGAGTGGTTGAGGGGGGTGTGTGGGGAAGGACAGTACCAGGGACTGCTACTTTCTGTTTTAAACTCCTTGAAACTATTTTTTTTTATTTTTTTAATTTTTGTTAAAGATTTTACTTATTTATTTGAGAGAGAGAGAGCACAAGTAGGGGGAGCAGCAGAGGGAGAGGGAGAAGCAGACTCCCCGCTGAGCAGGGAGCCCAACGTGGGGCTCAATCCCAGGACCCCGAGAACCTGACTGAGCTACCCAGGCGCCCCCTCTTGAAACTATTTTTAAATTAGGCATATTTCTTAAATTGATTTTGTAAAATAGTATTTAAAGTAGCTTTTATAATACTAATTCAAAGGGATACATGCACCCGATGTTTACAGGAGCATTATCTACAATAGCCAAATTATGGAAACAGCCCAAGTGTCCATCAACTGACAAATGGATAAATGGTATATATACACAATGGAATATTAGCCATAAAAAGAATGAAATCTTGCCATTTGCAACAACATGGATGGAGCTAGAGAGTATTATGCCAAGCGAAGTAAGTCAGAGAAAGACAAATACCACATGATTTCACTCATCTGTGGAATTTAAGAAACATAACAAATAAGCAAAGGAAAAAGAGAAAGAGGAAAGAGAAGCAAACCAAGAAAAAGACTCTTAACTATAGAGAACAAACCAGTGGTTACCACAGGGGAGGTGGGCAGGGGGATGGGTGACATAGGGGATGGGGATTAAGGAGGGCACTTGTGATGAGCACCGGGTGTTGTACGGAAGTGATGAGTCACTAAATTCTACACCTGAAACTAATATTGCACTGTACGTTAACTAGCTGGAATTTAAATAAAAACTTGGATAAGAAAAATAAATTAACTTAAAAAAAAGGAAATGAATGTAATCATGTGCATGTCTGAGTAACATTCGGCAATTAGTGAACTAAAAAGACTAAGAACTACACACTGATGATAACCAGTACCCTAGGCATGGATGACATTGCCTGGAGAGACCGAGAACCTAGGTCAAATCCTAAGTATCGTCATATTTAATAGTGATAGATGGAAAAGGCTGTTAAAGAAAACACAAGCAGCAGCAGACAAGGTAGAAGTAGTGCAGTGGTGGAAGGATGGGCAGGAGGTGAGGAGTGAGGAGGCCTGGAAAGCTTCCATTGGGCTTAGCCGCAGGGAGGTCCCGGGACTCCCGGTCAGGGGCTAAGTCGGCGTGCACGTATACTGGTATATTAGATTACACGCCCTGTATGTGCGTATGCTGACGTCTTGGAGTGCCAGGCTAAAGATGTATGAGGGGATGGTTGTATTTTTCTCATCCACAGAGTTCTAAGTTCTCATCCACCCGGCATGTGACTCTCCTCCCCTCCAAATAAGGCCGTATTAATGGCAGGTCCAAGTTACACACCTGTCTCCATTCTGCAAGTTGTGGGTTTCCTGAGGGAAGGGCCTCACTGTCTACTATTGGAGAAAGGATTCCATCTTCATAAGCAGGCACTCCATTTTTCTTTTAACCAGCAGTCGCCAGTCTTTCTTAGGGTGTGAGAGCGAAGAAACCCTTGTATTTGTTTCACCCTAAACTTGCCCATTTCCTGAGAGACGGTCCTGGCTCTATCTATATTCAGAGTAGCTATTACCACGCCACAGGGAAAACGATTTGGGTATTTCCATCCAAATCTTCCAAGAACTGCTGCTTGGCAAACCACCCTTCCTTTTTCTCGCCTCCCTTGAGGCATTCTAGAATATTCCTGAGGGGTCATTAGAAAGTCCCTCTCAACCAGGAGGCTTCCCCTCGGGCCCTGAGAGACCTCCAGCTGTGGTTACCAGTCTCAGCGCCTCACTGGCATGCACCCAACAGAATTCTGCCAGTGCAGGGAGGTGCTTAGGGAAGTTGGAAGAGACAGTTGCAGCTTCTTGGCCACCTAAAACTGCCGGGAATGCTCATTTTGTCCCTCTGTCCCCAGGCCAGGTTCTCCTTGGGAACCAAAGGCACAGAGTAATTTTCTGGTTCTGGATGCTTCTCTCTGAAAAGCTGCTCCAGTACACTCTAGCTCTACCCTCCCTCTCTTAAGTCTAAGAGCAGGGGTTCTTGTATTTACTGCACATAAGAATCACCTGGGGTTCTACTAAAATGTAGATTCCTGGATCCCACCCCCAGAGTTTCTGATTAGTTCTGGGCCATGCCTGGGAATCTGCATTTTAACTAAGTACCTATAAATGATTCTGATGCAGGTGGTCCTGGGACTTTAGGAAACACTGCCCTATAGCTTGTGCTAATACAACCTATGATCTTAAGTATAATTATCCCAATTATCCAACAGTCATTAACTACTATTAAGTAATAAATTCCTGCTGCTGACCCTGGAACAACACAGCAGCCCATGTGAGAAGCAGGTTAATTAGCAATATTTGGAGCTCGTATTTGAAACCTAGTGATTTGGTCTCCGGCACCTTAGTCCCATCTCTGCTGAACAGTGTCACCCAAGCCTCTCCTACCTTATCAGCTGCCCTGGTGGGCGTCTGCCTAGCTCTTGAAGCCCCCCAAGGACTCCCAAAGTGACATTTATAATGCACAATCATATATCGGGTCAGATCATTCCAAACATGCCTTCCTTGTTTGGCATACAGGCTCTGTTGACTTGACGTGGTAAGATATGCACATTATGTTCAAATTAAGGAGGTAAAAGCAGGCCCATTCATTACAAGTTAGAACACTCTGGCACCTCCTCGACGAGTGAAACTTAAGCTGTTCTTCCAGAGGAGCCTGAGAATCATCTCTCCATGAAACGTAAGGAGATTTTATGGTCTCCGTGCACAGAAAAACATAAATGAAGGATTAAATACTCAGAAGCAGAGTTCAAAACTCTTGAGTCTAAAAGGACAATAAGTTCCTAACAGAAAGCCATCTCATAGTTGTACACAATCAGTAGAGCAGATTGAGATTATCCTGTTCTCTTTACAATTTCTTACATGATCGCACCATTTTCTCAGGGTCCAAGCAATAGGTTTTGGCTGAAAATTAAAAGCATAAAAATCATCCAAATGAGGTAATAGATGACTTTCAAGAGTGATGAGTCTCTTGATAACCAAACCTGACTGAGGGTGCTAACAGGAAAGGCAAAGTGATTAAGATAACCAGTGGAGAGAGAGTGAGAGAGATAATGCAGAAGGAAGCGGGGAGGGGAGGCAGGGGGGGAGAAGGGGGGGGTGGGGAGAGCTCCCTGCCGATAGCTGGTATGCGGCTGCGTGGGTCATGTCACACTCAGAAACTCATTATCATCCAGCAGGTTCTTTGGGGGTTTTTTTTCTTTTTTTAAAGATTTTATTTATTTATTTACTTATTTATTTGGTGGGGGGCAAGCATGCACACACAAGTGGGGGGAGGGGCTGTGGGGGAAGGAGAGAGAGAGAAAGAATCCCAAGCAGGCTCCACGCCCAGTGCATAACCCAACGTGGGGCTCGATCTTACGACCCTGAGATCATGACCTGAGCCGAAAACCAAGAGTCAGATGCTCAACCGATTGAGCCACCCAGGGCCCGTTAAAGATTTTATTTTTAAGTAATCTCTACACCCAACGTGGAGCTTGAACCTACAACCCCGAGATCAAGAGTCACATGCTCCACCAGCTGAGTCAGCCAGGCACCCTGTTTTTTTGGTTTTCTTAACGATAATTTTGAACCCTGTTTTCATACAGGGCATGTTCAAGGCCTTCCTGTCACTTCCTGTGGATGAAATATTAGTATTAGGTCATGGCCTTTCTGAGAAAGAAGTTACTGGCTTAGAGTCTGGTTGGATAACATGGGTTGTATGGGTTATCTGGGTGAGAGTTTATGAGAACTGTACTTTTTCTGGGATTCCTCCTTGACACATAGTTCCTGGCTGCCTTCTTGAATTTTTTCCCATTCTAGATTTTCTCAAGGTCTAATAATAATAAAAAGTCATGATAAAAACAATTTGAATGGATATTATGGCCTCCAATTATTATTTTTTTTCCTCCCTAAGAAGATTACATGGCTCTAGAGTACAAAATGACTAAAGGCCCATTTACGTATGGCCTCTTATACATGAGTACATCTATACCTACTGGGCCATTTAGAAAATATGGTTGCCCGGACATATTTGAGTTTTCTCTCTTCATATCTCCTAACTAGTAACTGATTGTGATAATTGAAAGCAGACATGCAATGCGGGTAGCTATGAAAAGTTTGGAAATACTGCAACAGCTACTTTGCTACAAAATAATCTTAAAAATCTATATAGATAGTCCCGCATCGGGCTCCCTGCTCAGCAGGGAGTCTGCTTCTCCCTCTGACCTTCCTCCTTCTCATGCTCTCTGTCTCTCATTCTCTCTGTCTCAAATAAATAAATAAAATCTTTAAAAAAAAAAAATCTATATAGATATAACTATGGTTTGGACAATATGTGATTTTTGGTTAATCTGGCTAACTTAATGGCTTGTCAGCAGTTTTACTTGAAGTGTAGTTGTCCATTGAAACTAAAACTGATAGGGGTGCCTGGGTGGCTCAGTCGTTAAGCATCTGCCTTCGGCTCAGGTCATGATCCCGGGGTCCTGGGATTGAACCCTGCATCGGGCTCCCTGCTCCACGGGAAGCCTGCTTCTCCCTCTCCCACTCCCCCTGCTTGTGTTCCCTCTCTCGCTGTGTCTGTCAAATAAATAATCTAAAAAAAAAAAAAAAAACTAAAACTCATAGAACTAGCCACTTGTGAACTTTGTAGAAGATGTGAATATTGACCTTAGTTCAAATAATAGCTCTGCCCCTTACAAGCCGTGTGACCTTGGGTAAGTCACCGAAGCTCTAAGGCTGTTTCACATTCTGTAAAAGGGGGGTAATTGTATACATGTCATAAAATTTTTGAGGCAATTATGTATGTATGTACATATTGTACATGTATGTAAAGTACTTAGTAGAGTGCCTGGAATAGATCAGATAGTGCTCAGTAACACTAGCTTTTATAGGTATGTTATATATAAGGTACGAAGAAACTCCAAAAGTAAACCAGTAAAAGCAAGAGTTAGCAAACTATGCCCATCCGGCTGCCACCTGTTTTCCTGCCTAAGGTTTTACTCGACCACAGCTATATTTATTCATTTATGTATTGTCTACAGCAGGATTGAGTAGTTGCAATAGACCCTATGGCCCAAAAAGTCTAAAATATTTACCGTCTGGCCCTTTACAGAAAGTTTGCCAACCCCTGAGTATAAGAAGAAATTTAATTGTCCAAAACAAACGGCATGTGGAGTGTGGACAGGTTGGGGTGCCCAGCTGGCTCCGTTGGTAGGCCATGCGACTCGATCTCGGGGTTGTGGAGTTCAAGCCCCACTCTGGGTGTAGAGCTTACTTAAATAATTAAATAAATCTCTGAAATGTGGGCAGGTCTATTTTCTAATCAAAAACAGAAAAGAAGGGGCGCCTAGGTGGCTCAGTTGGTTAAGCGACTGCCTTCGGCTCAGGTCATGAACTCAGGGTCCTGGGATCGAGCCCCGCATCGGGCTCCCTGCTCGGCAGGAAGCCTGCTTCTCCCTCTCCCACTCCCCTTGCTTGTGTTCCTGCTCTCGCTGTGTCTGTCTGTCAAATAAATAAATAAAAATCTAAAAAAAAAAAAAATACTGGAATTAAAAAAAACACCTGTGCTTAATAAGTAGGATTTCCCTAAAACATAACCTACACTGTTAGGAAAACCCTAAAATTCATATATAAATTTCAGTGTTCTTCTCAGATGACTGTTCAGGATTAACAGGTAATGCGCAGGCTTCTTATAGCAGGCATTCAGTACACACTTATTGAACAAGGGAATGAATAAACGATGCCTTTATCTTATTAGTTGTCTAAAGCTAGCAAGACTGAAAAGACAATTGCAAAGGACTTCTTTATCAAAAAACCCCACAGGGCGCCTGGGTGGCTCAGTCGAGTAAGCGTCTGCCTTTGGCTCAGGTCATGATCTCAGAGTCCTGGGATGGAGCCCTGCATCGGGCTCCTTCCTCAGTGGGGAGCATGCTTCTCCCTCTCCCTCTGCCACTCCCCCTGCTTGTGCTCACTCACTCTCTCTCAACTAAATAAATAAAATCTTTAAAAAAAAAAAATGAATAGCGAATGACTAGATAAATGAAGTTATGAAATTGAATCGGTTGGTAGCAAAATGGCTATATCAAGAAAGGCTTGTAACAAGGGGATTTGTTCTAGAATCAGTTTTTGAAAGAGTTGAAGAAATAAGAGTAGCCGAGACGCAGAGTCGTTATCACTATCCCCATGAACCTTCCCTCCCATCTTGATCCTCTTCACTTTCCTTTTAGAGCCAGATTAGGGGACTTATTAGCAATCATTTCATCTCAAGTATCTTAACATCCTAAACACAGTATAACCTAAACAGAACTCTTAATTCTAACCCTTCATTCCCTCACAACCACACGTTTCCCCTGCACACTCCAACTTAATATGGTTCCTGATTTTTCTTTTCCTTTCATGTCTTCCATTTAATCCTTTAGCATGTCCTGTCATTCTATTTGCAAATTGCATACTGAATTTGTCCACTCCTCTCCATCCCTACTCTATCACTCTAGTCCAAACCACTCGGATTAATCTTAATGGAACCCTGCTTGTGTCCCTGTTCCTACCCATCTGGTGCCTGCCCCTCCCCCTCCAATTTATTCTTCCTCTAGAAGCCAGAGTGATTTCTTAGAAATGCCATCAGATCATGCCACTCTCCTTTTAAAATTCTACAAAGTTTCCCACTGTACCTAGAGTAAAATTCAAACTCCTCCTCCTCCTCTACAAAACCTTCTCCATCTGGACTCTCTATCCCTGCCTGACTCCATCCCATTCCACAACCCTCACCTGCTGCAACCACACTGGCCTTTCCTATCTCTTAAATGCCAAATTCCTTCCTCAACTTGTTCCAGCCTGAGTGCCTAGCACACTCTGGAATACTCTACCACAGAATCTTTACTGCCTTTTTCCCCCCATTTAGTTCTCAGTGTCACCTTCTACATTTTCAGAGACCTCTCCAGATCACTATAGCTAAATTAGGCACCCCTTCCTATTAAATGTTTACCGTATCACTCTGGTTCCTTCCTTAATAGCACTCATGACCTGAAATCACTTTGCTCATTTGTTCACTTGCTCCATGAGGGCAGGACCTTGTTGATCTTGCTCATCACAGTATCCTTTATACTTAGAAAAGTGAGAACACAGTACCTGACCCACAGTCGACATTTAATAATATTAAATACTGAGTGAGTTATACATGGCTGTTATGCTCAGATTTTTTTTCCTGAAAAATTGATCTCAGAGGAAAAGCAAGGTGTTTATCACACCTATATGTTTCAGAATCTTAGAGTTGACTGAGTCCTAGGCTTTGTGAAGCAAATTAATAGGCAAGCCAACATACAGAGCTATTCTCTGTATCAAATCTCACAAATGATCTTGATTTTGTGCTTCATAGGGACTCCATTTCAATTCTTCATTTCTTGAAATGACTAACATATATCAACAATGTTATTTTGAAGTACATGTCCTTTTTCAACAGTGCTTGAAGGTTTATAGATATACCAAAATGCTCTTATAAGAAACTCAGCCAATAAGATTCTTCTGGCACAGAAACTATCTCAAATACTTCTTCAGCGAATGAGGTTTTAACGTTTTCTAACTGCGCGATGGTGCCAAAGAAAAATTCTCTGGCTTCAAGTTGAGCAATACCTTCGAAGTGTCAAAAATAAAACTGATTCTTACAAGAAAACAAAAGAGTAAATGGAACCTTTTATTAGTGAAACAAGTCAATTTATTTCCAACAAGGCCTTTTCCTCTATAAATGAGACAAACTACTTTACAGTACTTTACAACAACATAGCTTAGTTTTTTGATGTTTTCAGAAAAGGAGCCATTTCTCTGGGAAATAGGAAAGTAAATATTTTGGGAAGAATAACTACAGGAAGTTACTTTTCAATTAACAGGCTTGACTACCAGGTATGTAACTCCAGAATCGTTCCTCTTAACAAATCTATCAAGTACTAGCCAACAAAGAACCTACCTTTAGAAACTGAGGCAGGAAAGGTTTCTACTTAAATAGGAAACAAGCAATCTAACATACCAATCACATGTCACCTTAACAAGGCAATTTACATAATTAGGTATAAATTATCTTTATGTTGATTAAGGTCCTAGCAAAGACAATTGGTCTGTTATGTCAAGTTCAAACTGCACTCATCTGGCTAGAAAGGTAATCATCACAATGGAATGGGGCTTGTTTGACTAAGGGGAAAAACTCTCTTCGATATTGCACATTTTCTTTCATTAAAAACAAGGATTATTAAGTCAAGGCCATCTTGGTTCTGAATCTCTCCATTTTTGTTGGAAGAAGACTCACCATCTCTTTACTAAGTTCTAACTCAACTTCTATTTCCTGGGCAGCCTCAGGGTGCTTTTCACAGTAATCAACAATAAATTTGTAATGTTCCAATGATGTTGCCAAATTTTCTAGCTCTTTCTTGGGATCTGCAGTGATGATTTTGCCATAGAGACGGGCAACTCGAAATTTAGCTAACATGGCAGGGCGAAGAACATCTTCCCCTATATGCTCAGGAAAGACTTTATTTGGGTCTCTCAGGGAGTCTAAGAAGAGCTGGTAGTATTTCAGTGCTGACTTATTGAGATTATTTATTTTTTTTACAATGTGTGAATCGGGGTCCCTCAGCTTGTCAGCAATGGCAACCTTCAAATCCATCATATCATAGTACGCATGTGCAATCTCAAACTGAATCTGCCTGTTGACCAACAGGTAATACTGTGGATTCAGGTCCACAATGAGGGGCTCTAGCATGGCTATTCTCCGTTTATGCATCTTGCACCGTCTCTCCATATCGGTTTCAAAGAAGGCAAGTACCTTAAACAGAGCACTGTGGTCTTGGACCACTTCGATATGGTCAGTGACATAACCATCAATCTGAAAGAACTCTTTTGCCTCAAAGACATAGTGTTGACCCAGTAAGAACAGTTCTCTGGCTTCTTCAAAATCTAAAGGTCTCAGATAGCTCACTTTCTCTTCCACCGCAGAGATGACGTCACACAGCTCACCAGCTCCAAACTGTACAGCTTTCTTCCTCATCCTTTCTTCCTCATCTAATTCTTTTTTCCTTAAAGCTCTAAGTTCAGATTGTTTATCAAGATCAAGCTCTCCTATGTTGTCCTGAAAGAAAAAATACATTATGGTGAGACAGGACACTGATCTGCTGTTGAATAATATTATGGCAAACTTAAGAGGAAAGAAAAGAATGCCCTCTTTCTCAGCTGGGTTTATGGAGGTGCTATAATCTTACACATCTTTTAAGACTTCTTTCTTCTAAAATTGTATTTCAATTGTATTAAAAATGTAAGAAATAGGGGCACCTGGGTGGCTCAGATGGTCAAGTGTCTGCCTTCAGCTTGGGTCATGATCTCAGGGTCCTGGGATCAAGCCCCACATCGGGCTCCCTGCTCAGTGGGAAGCCTGCTTCTCCCTCTCCCTCTACTGCTCCCCCTGTTTATTCTCTCACTCTCTCTGTCAAATAAATAAATAAAATCTTTAAAAAAAAATGTAAGAAATAGGAAAAGGTATAAATCAAATAAGCTACTTACATATGACTTTCCTCTCTGGGGAACTAAAACTCATTTATAGTTTCTCCTTCAGGTAAGATAAATGCATATGAAAGAACTTTAGAGACTGTGAAACATTATATACGTGTAATAAATTATTAGTATTTTAATATTAGAGTAAGACTGTAATCTACACCCTAAAAATATTGCACTGAGATGCCATTAAGATTAATGATACGATGTTTATGCTAGAAGTTATTTATGAAATACAGAGAAATGTCCAGGTCTCAAAGACACTAAAGTGAAGACACAGTTAAATCTACCATCAAAGTTATCTCCTCCTACCCCTCAGGTCAAAAAAAAAAAAGGTAAAATGGTTTAAAAAATAGACTGAGCGGGGCGCCTGTGTGGCTCAGTCGGTTAAGCGTCTGCCTTCAGCTCAGGTCATGATCCCAGGGTCCTGAGATTGAGCCCCGAATCAGGCTCCTTGCTCAGCGCGGAGCCTGCTTCTCCCTCTCCCTCTGCCTGCCATTCTTCCTGCTTGTGCACGCACTCTCTCTCTCTCATTCTCTGACAAATAAATAAATAAAATCTTAAAAAAAAAAAAAGACTAAGCTGAGGGTGCACTGGTGGTTCAGTCAGTTAAGCGTCCTACTCTTGGTTTCAGCTGAGGTCATGATCTCATAGGTCCTGGGATCAAGCCCCATGGCAGGCTCCTCGATCAGCAGAGTCTGCTTGAGATTCTCTCTCTCCGTCTCATTCTGCCCCTCCTCCCACTCATACCCCTACTCTCTCTCTAAAATAAATAATCTTAAAAAACAAAAAACAAAAAAACTAAGCTCATCTTTCTCTTCCTGGCCAATAAAACTGAACATCAGATCCCTCTATGCTCCACCCCTAAGCCTTTTCTTCCTGTCACTCAACATGGTCTCTTGATCTGCACTGTTCAAACTGAGACGTGGGCTGTATTTACAACATATATATCCAATTTTTAAGACTTAATTCAAAAATAATTTTAAATCTCTTTAATATTGATGACCTACAGAAATGACAATTTTTTAAATATAATCTGGGTTTAAAAAGTATAAAGTTAATTCACCCTTTTTCCTTTTCTAATGTGGCCATTAGAAAATTGAAAATTACAGGGGCACCTGGGTGGCTCAGTCAGTTAAGCGTCTGCCTTCGGCTCAGGTTGTGATCCCACGGTTCTGGGACCGAGTTCCCCATTGGGCTCTCTGCTTCTCCCTCTGCCTGCCATTCCCCCGCTTGTACTCTCTCTCTCTCTGTCAAATAAATAAATAAAATCTTAAAAAAAAAAAAAAAGAAAGAAAACTGAAAATTACATACATGGTTGGTGTTCTATTTCTCTTGGACAGCACTGCCCTACGGATGACTCTGTTCATACCCACGTCTGCCACTGTCATCCATGGGAGGGTGACTCACAAACAGAGCTACAGCCCATACCTCTTCTCAAGCTCCAGACCCACAGCTACAGCTCCCTGTATGACCTCTCCTCTAAGAACACTCAAAGGCTCCTCATCTGCAGGACGTCCACAATGGAACTCCTATTCTTCTTCAGCTGTTTCCTATTCTAGTGCTGTTTGAGTGAAGAAGCCTCCATCAGTCTGGATAGCCAACAACCTAGGAATGAATCATCCTTGAGATGTCCCTCTCCTCTCCCCTTTACCCTGCACTTTCAATCTATCACCAAGTCCTTTATATTTTGTTTCCCAAATACCTCTGGAATCCATTCTTTCCTCTTTATCTCTTCTCCCACCATCCTAGACCAAGCTCCCTTCACATTCCACCTGGACGGCTCCAGTGGTCTTCTAACTAATCTCCCTCCCCTACTGTTGCTTCCCCTCAATTCATTCTCCACTCTGCCACCTAAGTGATTGTTCCAAAACCCTTCAAGCCTTCCACTCCTCGAAGGCCCTGCTGGTTCCAGCCCCTTTTGAACTCTATCTTACATCACGTGCTCTCCTACTCTGCTCCAGCCTCACAGGCCTTTGTCCCATCCCACCTAAGACACCATGCTCCCTGTGCCCCAGAACATGCTGCTTCAGCTTGCTGGAATGCTGAGCCTTCTTTTTTCCGGTCCAGCTAATTCCTACTCATTCCCAGAGCATCCTTCACATGTTACTTCCTCCTATATGTCCTCCGGCATGTGTCTCTCCTTTGTGGAACAAAGTTGCACTTTTTTTTTTTTTTAAAGATTTTATTTTTTTATTTGACAAAGAGAGAGAGACAGCGAGAGAGGGAACACAAGCAGGGGGAGTGGGAGAGGGAGAAGCAGGCTTCCCGCAGAGCAGGAAGCCTGATGCGGGGCTTGATCCCAGGACCCGGGGATCATGACCTGAGCCAAAGGCAGACACTTAATGACTGAGCCACCCAGGTGCCCCCAAAGTTGCACTTTTAGGACAACGACTAGCATAGAGGTGGCATAAATTGTGTAGGTCTTAAGCTTGAATTGAAGAAGGCTTTTCAGGTAAACAGATAATCAAAGGATGAAGTTAAAATAACAAAGTCAGATTAAGGAAAATCTGAGTAATTTAAGAGCAGGCAACTATTTTAATTAGTTTCAAGTAATCAGGTGATACGTTCTGGTGCCCAGTCTGGAAAACATCAACTAAGTGAAGGGTATGAGTTAAATGATGGTGTATTTTGCTTGGCACAATTACTTCAAATGCAAGCCCTAAGTCTCCAAAATCTTATTTACTTACTTGCTTCCTGGCTGCTTGCTTATTTAGATGCTTTCCTGGCTGCTTTCTGAGCAGAAGAAAGCTGACAGCTTTTCCTGGATCCAGCTTCTCTAGACATAAAACTTCCTAGTTCTCCCTACTTCCTTTCTTTCCCAAATACGCCTCACCTTTACCCTCTACCTCTAAAATGCTCTCATCCTTGCACGATGTATGCTTCTGGGGTTTTGTGGTTTGTTTGATTTTCTTTCGTTTCGTAGTTTCATGGGTTCTATATTATCACTAGTAAAAATTATTGTATTTTAATGCATGTATGCAAAAAAAAAAAGCATAACTCCTCCAGGAAAGTTTTCTACATATCTATGTTTAGTATACTGCATCCAAAGGATTTACTTTCCTCCTTAGTGGTTAGAAGCTAGGATTCAGTATGAATTAGTAATGATGATGATGACCATGAACATTTACTGAGGACTTAGTATGTCTAGGGTACTTTTCTGAGCCCTTTGCATATATATTAATTTAACTCTGATAACAACATTATTAGGTAAGTACTGTTATCATCTCCATCTCCTTTGTGAGAAAATTGAGACAAAGAGAGATTAAGTAAATTGCCAAAAACATACCACTATAAACTGGCAGGGCTATTTCCAGATATATATTTTTATAAAATAAATATAAATATATATACCGTATAAAGTATATAAAGGTTAGGGGCGCCTGGGTGGCTCAGTTGTTAAGCGTCTGCCTTCAGCTCAGGTCATGATCCCAGGGTCCTGGGATCGAGCCCCGCATCAGGCTCCCTGCTCTGCAGGAAGCCGGCGTCTCCCTCTCCCACTCCCCCTGCCTGTGTTCCTTCTCTCGCTGTGTCTCTCTTTGTCAAATAATAAATAAAATCTTAAAAAAAAAAAGTATATAAAGGTTAGATTGCTTATAGTCTAAGAAGAGGTGAAGGAAAAAAGATGAGAATATGAATAGAGATAATACAAAGCAAAATCTAAGTGATTTAGGGCAGGCAAGGAATGTTTTATGGAGTTTAAAGAAGGGAAATGATACCTGTAGGCTATGAAAAATTACACACTGAACAATTAATACACTGAGAACCTACCATGTCTGAGATAATGATACACCGTGAATATGACACAGCTCCCACCTCTCAAGGAATTTATATTCTACCCAAAGGAAAGTCTTTAAGGAAGAAGTGGTATTTGAGATAGACCTTAAATAGATAAGACTCTAAAAGGTAGAGATGGGAGAACAAGAACTATCTGACAGCATTCTGCATGCTTTGCATAATAAACATGCAGTGAGCCCAATGAGCATAATTCCCATTTTAAGCTTTTACTTCCATCCTGCTTATTTAAGAAAGAAAAGGTACCTTTTCACTACATTACCTGCATGGAAAGCTGGGCGTTCTGCAGGAGAGTCAAACAATACTTGATCCAGCATCTTGCTATTTCTCCTTTTCTTTGATGATAAAGCTCTGGCACATCTCCCTCAGCTTCAGTAGCTAAAATCACACAACATTATTTGCCTAAGTTAATGGTCACAATCGCAATTTTCATTGTGTATTACATTCTTTTTATAGCACTTTTCCCTGAATTTAAGAGTAACAGATTCTCACTGAAGCAGTGGGGGGAAAACTGACCCAAAATTCCTACCACCCAGAGGCACTCACTGCTATTATTTTTGTAGATTTCTTTCTAGTTTTTTCTTCTGTGTTATCTGTTGGTAAAAACTAAGGTCACAATGTATATTCAATTTTGAATATAGATTTTTCTTTATATATCATACCACTAACACGTCACTCATATCATTATCAACTCTAACATTTTTAAGTACAGCATTGTATACAATTAAATAGATGTTCCCTACTTTATATAACTATTCTTCTAATATAACCATTCTTCTAATTCTGTTGTTTTTACTTCTTATATAAGAAACAAATCTAAACAAAGGTCATGATCTCGAGGCTGTGGGATCGAGCCTGACATCAGGCTCTGTGCTCAGTGCGGAGTCTGCTTCAGATTCTCTCTACCTCTCCCTCTCATTCTCTATTCTCTCTCTCTCAAATAAATAAATAAAATCTAAAAAAAAAAGATTCTCTCCCTCCCTCTGCCCCTCCCCTAAGTTTGTGCACGCACACATGGTCTCTCAAAAAAAGAAGAGAAATAGTGTCAAACAAGGTGAAAGTTAGCATAATTATTAATCAATTTGTCAAAAATTCCAATTTAGTGAAATTCAAATTGAAATAGAGTTCTCATGAATTAAAAGGTTGTCCTGAGTGCAAAGCTTCCCCCAAATTAATATTCAGAATGATGAATATGGTTTAATGAACGGCCAATTATTTCCTTTTGTAATGCAAGTCCCATGTCCAGTTTTACCAAAATATTTAAGTTACATCTGTGGAGGGCATTCCTCTTTTTTTTTTTTTTAACTTTATTTATTTATTTGACAGAGAGACACAGTGAGAAAGGGAACACAAGCAGGGCGAGTGGGAGAGGGAGAAACAGGCTCCCCGCTGAGCAGGTATCCCGATGCGGGACTCGATCCCAGGACCCTGGGATAACGACCTGAGTCGAAGGCAGACTTTTAACCGACTGAGCCACCCAGGCGTCCCGAGGGCATTCCTTTTTAAAAGAAAAAATTTATTTTAAGATTTTTCATGATTTGGGGCGCCTGGGTGGCTCAGTCTGTTAAGCATCCAATTCCTGATCTCAGCTCAGGTCTTGATCTCCGGGTTGTGAGTTCAAGCCCCACACTGGTCTCCACACTGGGCATGGAGAGTACTTAAAAAATAAATAAAATGACAATGTAAATAAATAAATAAATTTCATCATTTAAATTATTTTGGTTTTCACTATTTAAAAAAAATCCTGGGGCTCCTGGGTGGCTCAGTCGTTAAGCATCTGTCTTCAGCTCAGGTCATGATCCCAGGGTCCTGGGATCGAGCCCCGCATCGGGAATCCCTGCTCAGCAAGGAGCCTGTTTCTCCCTCTCCCACTCCCCCTGCTTGTGTTCCCTCTCTCGCTGTGTCTCTCTCTGTCAAATAAATAAATAAAATCTTTAAAAAAAAATCCTTTGTAACATGAAATAACATTTTCCATCACCATATTAGATTTAATGCAGTACCGCATTAAACTTTCCTCTGTAGTCTACCTTTTTCCATCTACATGGGTGTGCCACCAACACCAAGTACAACAGTCACAGTGCCCAGCTCTACAGGGAGAGAGTCAAGTCGCTAGCCTCCCAAGCAACACGGAAGCATGGCACTGGTGGGTTGGACTGTCTCCTTTAGATGAATATTTATTTCAGCAGAAAAAGTGGGTTTGTTATTTAAGATTTGTTTATTTATTTGAGAGAGACAGAGAGCAGAGGGAGGGAAAGAGAGGAGAGAGGGGGAGAATCTCAAGCAAACTCCCTGCTGAGCGGGGGGCCCAACATGGGGCTCGATCCCACGACCCTGAGATCATGACGTCAGGCAAAATCAAGAGGCAGACGTTTAACCAACTAAGCCACCCAGGCGCCCCAAAAAAGTGGTTTTTATCTCTAACAGTAAAACTAAGGAACAACATACAGTCAATTCTCATTATCCGTGGTAGTTATGGTCTATAAAGTCACTGTGAACACAGAATTATTAGCAAATGCTGAAACACCACTCCTTGGGAAAATACAGGGTTAGATTCCCATGGGCTTCTGGTCCTATTTTCACCAACTGATCAATATGTATAACTTTATTTCATGTGTATTTCTGTTTAGCGACCCCTTATTTAGTATATATTGTTGGCTTATTAACACTGAGCTCAGGACCAATAGCACTCTAACTTGTGCCTGAATGGGTCTTATCTAACACTGCAGTTTCTCCATAAGGCAGTCACAGCCTTCATGTGTTTACAAACACCGGACAGCACCTCGGCACTACGTGGAGGCCATTTTAACGACTGAACCACCCAGGCGCCCCTACGTGGGGGCCATTTTAAACAATGAAATTACAAAAAAAACCACAACAATATGAAGAATGGGTACTGAATAAACCACAGAAAGGACACTTATTTACTATATGAGACTGAAACAAGAAGGTGAGCGTTGCCTTGTTCAACATCAGCTGGGAACGTGCAACCTCAGATGACTCAACTTCTTTGTTGTTCTGCACAAATGACCACAGAAGTACCTCGAGTACTGAGTTTGGGGTTACAAGTAAATTGTAGCAAGAGGTGAATCCACAAATACGTAATCCACAAATAATGAGGACTGACTGTACTCTGGAACTTGTACTTAGATAAGAAGTCCTTTTTCTTTCTCTTTCAGAAATAGCTTGTGGATCTGGGTACTTGACTTCCTTAAGGTTTGGAAGCAAAAGTTATTGGGTTGATAACTTAGTAAAATGTGCTCAGGGGCCCTATGTAGATATGTTACTGATTTTATAATAGTAAAAAGTACCAATCTTTTTTTAAAATTGAGATACAACCGATATATGACATTATAGTTGACCTGAACTACAGAGGTTTGAACAGCACAGGTCCACTTATACATGCAATTTTTTTACAGTATAGCACTGTAAAGGTACTTTCTCTTCCTTATGATTTTCCCATTTTCTTTTATCTGGCTTATTTCACTGTAAGAATAGAGTATTAATACATATAACATACAAAATATGTGTTGTTTATTATGGTAAGGCATCTGGTCCACAGTAAGCTCTTAGTAATTAAGTTTTGGGGAGTCAAAATTTATACATGGATTTTTTTTGGCAGAGAGAGAGACAGTGAGAGAGGGAACACAAACAGGGGGAGTGGGAGAGGGAGAAGCAGGCTTCCTGCTGAGCAGAGAGCCCAGTGTGGGACTTGATCGCAGGACCCTGGGATCATGACCTGAGCCGAAGGCAGACGCTTAACTGAGCCACCCAGGCGCCCCTACACATGGATTTTTAACTACACAGGGGATAGGCACCCCTAACCCCCCCATTATTCAAGGATCAACTATATATTAGTTTCATACACCCAACATGATTTGATGTTTGTATATATTACAAAATGATCATCACGGTAAGTCTAGTTAATATTTATGACCATACACAGTTCAATATTTCTTGCATTGAGACTTTTTTTTTTTTTAAAGATTTTTTATTTATTTGACAGAGAGAGACACAGCGAGAGAGGGAACACAAGCAGGGGGAGTGGGAGAGGGAGAAGCAGGCTTCCTGCGGAGCAGGGACCCCGATGCGGGGCTCGATCCCAGGACCCTGGGACCATGACCTGAGCCGAAGGCAGACGCTTAATGACTGAGCCACCCCAGGCGCTCCTGCATTGAGACTTTAAAGATATACCCTCTTAGCAAATTTCAATATGCAATACAGTATTAACTATAATCACCATGCTGTACATTACATTCCCAACTTAATTATAACTGGAAGCTTATATCTTCTGCTAAAAAAGATTTTTCTTTTTCTCTTTTTTTTCTGGATAATAATCCACTGTACATATACACCGTATTTTCTTTATCCACTCATCCATCAACGGACATTTAAGTTGTTTTCATATCTTCGTGACTGTGTAAATAATACTGCAGTAAACATGGGGGTACATATATTTTTTCAAATTAGTGTTTTCTTTTTCTCTGGGTAAATACCCAGAAGTGGAATTACGGAACTGTATGTTATTTCTATTTTTAATTTTTTGAGGAACCTCCATACTGTTTTCCACAGTGGCTACACCAATTTACATTCTCACTAACAGTGCACAAGGGTTCCCTTTTCTTCACATCCTCACCAACACCTGTTATTTCTTGTCTTTTTCATAAAAGCCATTCTTACAAGTATGAGATGATATCTCACTGTGGTTTTGATTTTCTCAAATATACGTGTTAACTGTGATTTTTAAAACTAAATAAAATACTATAATTAAAAACTAGACATTTGGACACATCACTTACGCAGGATGCCAACCAAAAATGTGTCATCTGATTCTTAGCTTAAGGAAACATCAAACACCAACTTATGGAAATCTAATGTAATAACTGGCTTATATTTTTCAAAAATGTCTGTGAATGAAAGAGAAAGAATGGCTGGGAAACTATTCCAGAGCAAAGGACAGTAAAGAGATGTGACAATTAAATGCAGTACGAAGGGCACCTGGGTGGCTCAGCCGTTAAGCAACTGCCTTCGGCTCAGGTCATGATCCCACGGTCCTAGGGTTAAGCCCCACATCGGGCTCCCTGCTCAGAGGAAAGCCTGCTTCTCCCTCTCCCACTCCCCCTGCTTGTGTTCCCTCTCTCGCTCTCTATCAAATAAATAAATAAAAATCTTAAAAAAAAAAATTAATAAATGCAGTACAAAATCATGAATTGGATACTCTAGTACTAGAAAGGACATTACGGGGATAATTAATGAAAAGGAAATATGCATTATAGATAAGAGATTTGTATCAATGTTATATTTCCTGTTCTATGATTATGTAAGAAAATATTCTTAGGAAATATACACTAAAGTATCAAAAGGGTAAAGGAGGCTAATGAATGCAATCTTCTCTCAAATGCTTCTGAACAATAAAATGTGATTGCAAATGAGGCAATTATTAAAAATTGGTGACTTGAGAAAGGCTACGGTAGTTCTTTGTTCTGTTCTTGAATTTTCTAAAATTTAAAATGATTTCCAAATGTTTTTTAAGGGGCGCCTGGGTGGCTCAGTTGGTTAAGCGACTGCCTTCGGCTCAGGTCGTGATCCTGGAGTCCCGGGATCGAGTCCTGCTCGGCAGGGAGTCTGCTTCTCCCTCTGACCCTCCCCCCTCTCATGCTCTATCTCATTCTCTCTCTCAAATAAATAAAATCTTAAAAAAAAAAAATGTTTTTTAAAAGCTGTGTAATAAAACATGCATATATGAACTTACTACTGTCTTCTGTTGTTGAGATCTTTCCAGTTTGACCAAAAATGACATTAGCAGCAGATAAACAGTGCCTGGCCTCCATAAAACATAGCTGTTGAGGAAATAAACAAGAGTAAGTGCAATTATCACCCAGCCTTATTTGCAATTAACACTTACATAAAGTCTTCTAATATGAGAAAAGCTTTATAGCTTTAGGTATATAGTATTAGGTAAGGAGACCTAAGGAGACCCTGTGTGGTTGCTGAACATTAAGAAGGTATATGACATGTATTCTCTGGTTAAAAAGCCACCTCAAATATTAAAATAACAATGCCCTCAAACTCGTAATAATAATCCAAACTGGCTGAGAGACAACTGCTGACTGAACTCAAAGTTAGCTCTCTTCCAGTTATCAATAAGTATAATTCAAGAATGCCTATCATCCTAGACTGAGAGTGCTTCAGACAGTCCTTTAGGTTCAATCCACATAGCCAAAATGCCATGCGTAATAAATGTGTCCCTTGTCAGAGGACTTAGAGATTTAATTTTCTGAGGTTTAGAGATCTCTCTATATATCCTACTTCAAAGGCAAAAAAGGGTAAATATGGATAGGAAGAGATTCCTGTCTCCTAGAATTTGGGGAATTTACATATAATGAATGTGGATTCCCACCGAGTTTTGAAGTTAACAGATCTCCACAGATGAACTTTCTGCAATTGTTTTACCAACACACTTGAAGACTTCCTAATACAAATTTGGGCATGGTAAAGTTCTCACTCACTTGGAGAAGATCTCTTTGTTAATATAAACATTTTGCATTTATCATGTAAGTCACAGGACCAACCCAGCAGAAATACAAAGTTAAAGTCCTACTTTTAGTTGGAAGCCACCCTCATCAATTAAATGTCTAGTTCATATTAATAATACCTCATTTTGTTGAGAAGATTTTTCATGGTTGGCTATGACTTTAAAATCTCGGCATTAAACGTACCTCTCCATGATAGCAAATTCAGAAGCCACCTTGAGAATAGCTGGGTACTGTGTACAGTATTAGCCCAGCAACATAATCTATAGATCAGAATGTTGGTATACACCTCCGAAGCCCAAAGAAAGTTACAGTTTACACGAAGAAGCTTTAACTGTCCCTCTACTATCCCTTACCCATCTTTATCACTTCAGCTTTGGTCAGACTAGTTCCCTGCAAGCAGTCACTGCTACGACAGCGAGTGCCTTGTGCCCTCAAGGTGGCTGGTAAATGTGGGACTTTAGCACCTGCCAGGTGGGGACACATCAAGTAGCAAAACCTCATCACTGGAACCGGATGAAGATGAGAATGATATAAATGACAACTGCATTGTTTTAAAGAAAATGGTTCAAATCTCTATTTACAATATAACTCAGCTAGTTGTAACAAAAACTTATAAAACATTTTGGTTTAAAAAAAAAAAAAGCACAGGGTGGGGGAGGTACTCGTGAAAATTACTGCATGCTCCACATAAGCAATGCTTAACAACTTTAAATTTTTTCTTACACTTCGAATTAATATCTAGATATCTTAGTACTATTAATATTGGTGGAGTTTAAGGTGTTAATTAAAATCACAGTGAATACGTGGCTTTAAAGTTGCTAAACAAAACAAGTAAGGGGCCTCTGGAAGCTATAAAAGAAGGCGCCACAAGCAGAGGCACCGATAACACTTCTGATGATGAGCACGATGAAATGGATTCATGACAGTTAGGTTTAACTGAATGCTCCAACAGACGCGACAGCGTTACTTACACGCTTGATCTTAGACCAAAGTCCTAGAAGCGATGCTGCAGTCACCACAGCCCTTTCTCGCCTGCTAATAGCTTTTCTGAATGAAATTCGGTGGGACAATACTTTAAACATAGGGCGCATTTACAGAACCAGCACTAACAAAAAGCTTAGAAAGGACAAAGGCCCAGTAAGGATATGGCAGTAGGTAACCAGAGAGATTTAAAGAAGGAACTCTGATAAGCAAAGAATTACCGATATTTCAGAGTGAATCAGAAATACAAGTAAAAGTAATTTCTATTGTTGAATATCTTACTGAGGATTAATCGAAAATCTGGCTGGGAAAGGTGGCTGAAAAGCGTTTCAGCATTAAAACTCTTAGGGAAGAAAGGAATAAATAGTCCAACTGAAAATATACCAACATGATTCTGAATAATTGTGATAAACAACTGAGAAGCTCAAGTTTGTTCTGTATAATCCTCCAGAAGAAGTGTATCATAAAGAGTGACAACTCTGGAACTGAGCAGAGACATTTCCAACAGAGAAAAATTACTATGGAGGAGTTAATTCTAAAGAATAACTGAAATGGATCACATGCTTTTATCAAAGCCCACATTTAACAGTCAACTTCCTCGGACAAATCCTCATAGTTACCAGATTACCACGGTATAAAGATAAAGCTGTATCTATAAGATAAACTCTGCAATTTAAGGTAACATCTCACTAGAATGAATTGATACTGTTCTGTATCAAAAAAGATGGTCTTAGGTAACTAACATGTAATTTTAGGGCTAGCAGCATGTAAGACAAAGACGAAATTCAGCATTTTACGATTCAAAAGGATTAATGCAACAAAAAGCTACAAAAGTCTAATATACTGGCAAACTGGGCTGCATTTTTCTGTCCAGTTTACAGCATAAAATACAAGCTACCTGTTTTTAAAAGATGACATTTTCAAGGTACTCCTCGTTCTATTTTTACACACACTAGCAGTAACTTTGTTAGACAACTATTTGAGAAGCTTACCTTATTGATGTAAAATTGCGACAAGGTAGCAGCATTAATAGCCCACTCTATAGGATGGTAGGCGTTGTGTTCAAGCTGCCGTTTTAGGGTACTGTGACAATAATGAGCAGCCTTCTCAAACATTTCCATATGCTGGTAGACTTGAGCCAGGTAATAGAGGTTATGAGTATAAACCTTCTCAAATCTATGAAGAAAAAGTAAATATTTGTATAATGGTTTACAATTTATAAGGGACTTTCATATAGCTTGGTCGTCTCACCAACCCTTTGATTTGGGTATGGCTATTGCATCTATCTGACAGATAAGGAAAACGGAGCCTCAGATTTGAACAGGGTCATATATCTAGTAAGTGGCAAATGGACATTTTAAAATCCATGTCAGAATCCACATTCTGTAACTTTAGGAGTGTCTCAAAAGAGAAAATACTGTGCTTTTTGGAACAATCATCTTATCTATACTATGTGGAATTACCTGTGAGAGCAGATTTCTGTACCTACTCACCTTTTTGATCTCTCTTGTTCAGTAAGTTTCTCTTCTTCAGGAAGAAAATGCTCAGTAGGATCAAGAGGAGGACTCCCAATCTACAATTAAAGAAAAACAAAACTCTAAAATTTTAAACTGTAAACACCAAGCGCCCTCCTCTGGAGAAACTGGAGAAATCAAATTTTTAAAGCCCAGTATATTTCATTTTTTACCAGTTCCTTTTCATGTTACCCAAGAAGTAATTTTCTTAACCATAAAATTTTAAAGAGTCAAACAAATAAAAGATGATTGCCTAGAAGCTCACAGTTGACAAAATTTTAACTGCTGTGGGAGGTGAACCTCAAATATACTAAAAAAAGATCTACCAATTTGCCTTTTTTCTCAAGGGAATGAGAAAAGTATATAGATTGCCCCCTTTTAATACAGAGGCAATAAAATCAGTGTTTCTGTTGTGTGTTACCTTGGCCAAGTCACCCAATCTCTTGTGCTTCTGTTTTCTCATTGATAAAATTCCCTCATAAGATTGCTATGAGGATTCAATGAGTTAATACATGTAAGTCACTTATAATACCATCTTAAGCCCTCTGAAAGAGCACCACTACTGCCTCATCTACTTCTGTGAGGACAGACCTATCCACAAGACCAGCCTTGCTTTAAAGTGAATTCGTTAAACTTCAAATAGCAAAAATGCCTTCCATTTTTAAAAATGTGATCTTACATTCTGGATGTAAATGCTAAAAGTATCACAACTTGGGTTCCTAGAATTTACAGAAAGTAAAAATGACTAAGACAGGAAGCAAGGCCGAAAGCAAACACAATAGATAAGTAATTCTCCCAAGATCTCAATAATTTTGAGGGCTGTTTATATGCTTACTCTTTAAAAAAAAAATATATGCTTACTCTTTTTTGATGAAGGGAATTAATCAATGTATTATTTTCTATACATATTTCATTGTTACGGCTACCACATGTCATATATAACCCTAAATCAAACCACTCTCTTCTCTGAACTAAAACACAGGTATAACTCAGTACAAAAAGTCTGATATGTTTTATGTTTCTATATTAATACTAATGAAATATCATAAGTGTTTGGTATCTACACATTTTTTGAGGGCGGGGGAAGGACAGAGGGAGAGAAAGAGTGAGAATTTTAAGCAGACTTCATGTCAAGCACAGAGCCCAACGTGGGCTCAATCTCACAACCCTGAGATCATGATCTGAGCTGAAATCAAGAGTCAGATGCTAAACCGACTGAGGCACCCAGCTGGCCTGGATCTTCACCTTTTTTTTTTTTTTTTTTTTAAGATTTTATTTGTCAGAGAGCAAGAGAGAGAGTGCAAGGTGAGAGGCAGGCAGGGGAGAAGCAGGCTCTTCGCTGAGCAGGGAGTCTGATGCAGGACTCGATCCCAGGACCCCGAGATCATGACCCAAGCCAAAGGTAGACGCTTAACCGACCGAGACACCCAGGCATCCCGGATCTTCACATTTTAAATGAACAATTTCATGTATAAGAGTGTGAGCCTAAAATCATGAAAGGAGGGTGTTCTATATGGATAGATGTTTCTGTGATCTGTCACACATAACTGACCACCTAGACCTGCACATACACAGGCAGGCTAATGTTTTTGAGATTCATGCTATGTAAATAACCTTGGGAGCTTGGTTGTTTGAAATAGATTATCTGGCCTCCCGCCCAGAACTGGCCCTTCTGTTCTGGATGCCAAGAGCTACAAATCTTGTCTCACATCCCCTCCTGCTCCAGGCTGGGCTGGACCCCTGGAATGGGATCCGAGAGAGGAGGCAGACAAACATACCCTAGGCTCCTTGAAAATATAAAAACAGAGTAACAGAAATGCAGCTCGCTCCACACGGCATGTAAGCAAACCATGTTTAACTCAAGCCCCATCATTTGCCCTATAAATATGGCCCTTATGAGGTCAGTTAGAAGTCTCACCTAGGGAGAGGATGCTCCACCCAGGCCTCTCCATTGGGACTCCAGCCTGGCTGTTTCCACGGGGCTTCCCCAGCTAACGAGATTGGATGTTGTAAGTACTCAATGTGATGTAATTTTGCCTTATTCTCATTTATTGCCTACTATTACCTTCATCTGTGTATAGATTCCTTTCCTCTTCTGTTTCTATTAGGTTTCTACAGTAATAATAAAGCTTTCTTTCCTTTTCAAAACCTGAACACGGCTGTTGTGAATCTTTTGTTCAGAACAGAAAGTAACATCTCCATTTGGCTTTGTGGTGCTCTGCTCCTCTTCTTAGACGTTAGGAGGAAAGTTAAAACACCAAGGTAGAAGAAGCACCATGACTTTTAAAATGTACATTCTAAAATTTCTTGGTTCGGGGGGTGGGCAGGAGGGTGCCTGGGTGGCTCAGTAAGTTAAGCATCTGCCATCTGCCTTTGGCTCAGGTCATGATCTCAGGGTCCTGGGATCGAGCCCTGTGTTGGGCTCCCTGCTCAGAAAGGAGTGTGCTTCTCCCTCTCCCTCTGCCCCACCCCACCCCCTGCTTGTGTTTTCTCTTCCTCTCTATCTCAAGTAAATAAATAAATCTTAAAAAGAAAATCCTTGGGGATATAATTAACATGCTGATTTGCTCCAATCTTTATCCTCTAGGGGTAGCTTGTTATGGGTAGGGACCATATTTTATTCCTATTTGATTCCCTAGCATTTTGCACAGTATCTGGCACATAGTAAAAACAATACATGTCTAGTGAATTAAACTGACAAAGCAAATAGGAATGTTCCGTCTATGCCTCTGCTCACAGCACATTCCTTTTACTTGTTATCCTTTTGGTATAGATATGGAAGTCCTCTACATACTACACAGTTTTTTTTATTTTTTTTATTTTACTTATTTATTTGTCAGAGAGAGAGAGAGAGCACAAGCAGGGGGAGTGGCAGGCAGAGGGAGAAGCAGACTCCTGCTGAGCAAGGAGCCTGCTGTGGGATCTGATCCCAGGACTCTGGGTTCATGACCTGAGCCTAAGGCAGATGGTTAACCAACTGAGCCACCCAGGCATTCCATTCTTTTTTTTTTCCTATATATTTTTTTTTTATGCATTTGAGACAGAGGGCACAAGCAAGGGGAGAGGCAGAGAGGCAGAGGGAGAGGGAGAAGCAGACTCCCCACTGAGCCGGGAGCCCGATGTGGGGCTCAAGCCTAGGACCCAGAGATCATGACCTGAGCCAAAGGCAGACGCTTAACCATCTGAGCCACCCAGGTGCCCCTACACTACCAGTTCTTAAAGAAGCAGCTCAAACTTGTATTTTAGACTAAGTCCAATTACTGAGACAATACAGTGTAGTGGTTAAAAGTATGGGTTCTGGAATCAGATTATGTGGGTCAGAATCCCAGTTTCACCACTTCTTAGTGTGTGGCCTTGGGCAAGTCACAATCTAGTGTGCTGCTTTTTCCTCATCTATATAATAGGAATAATAAAAGTATCTACCTTATAAGTTGTCATGAGGATTAAATGAGTTAAAACTGGTAAATCATTTGTAATAGTGCCTGCAGGTACTATAAATAAGTGCTTAAATGTTTGTTAAATAAGTAAAATATCAACAGTGGGAATATAACAAACTAAAAAGCTTCTACAGAGTGAAGGAACCCAAACACAAAATGAAAAGGCAACCTACCAAATAGAAAATTTCTGCAATCACGTATTTGAGAAGGGGTTAATATTCAAAATATATAAAAAATTCATGCGACTCAATAGCAAAAAGACCCAACCAATCTGATTTAAAAATGGGCAGAGGATCTAAATAGACATTATTCAAAAAAAGACATACAGATGGCTAATAAATACATGAAAAGATGTTCAACATCACTAATCATCAGGGAAATGCAAATCAAAACTACACTGAGGTATTACTTCACACCTGTCAGAATGGCTATTATCAAAAAAGACACGAAATAACAAGTGTTGGCAAAGTTAGAGAAAAGGGAACCCCTGTGCACTGTTGGTAGAGATGTAAATTAGGCAGCCTCTCTGGAAAACAGTATGGAGGTTTCTCAAAAAATTAAAAATAGAACTACCAGCAGAGTAGCGCAGCGGAAGAGTGCTGGGCCCATAAAAATAGAACTACCCTACAATCCAGCAATTCCACTTCTGGGTATTTATCCAAAGGAAATGAAAACACGAAAAGATAAAAGCACCCCCATGTTCATTGTAGCATTATTTACAACAGCCAAGACCTGGAAACAACCTAAATGTCCATCAGTGAATAAATGGAGAAAAAAGTGTGGTGTGTGTATACACACACACACACACACACACAGGAAATTATTTAGCCATAAAAAAAAGAAGGAAATCCTGCCATTTGTAATATGGATGGACTTTAAAGACATCATGGTAAATGAAATAAGTCAGAGAAAGACAAATACCATACGATCTCACTTATATATGGAATCTTAAAAAGAAAAAAAAGAAAAGCAAAAACACACAAGAAAAAAGAATGCCTAGATGCAGAGAGCAGACTGGTTGTTTCCAGAGGTGGAGGTAGTAAAGAAAAGGATGAAGGTGGTCAAGAGACAAAAACTTCCAGTTATAAAACAAATAAATCTTGGGGATGCACTGTACGCATGATGCCTACAGTTAGTAATACTGTATTGTATATTTGAATTTTGCTAAAAGAACAGATCTTAAAAGTTCTCATCACAAGAAAAAGAACTGTAAATGTATGTGGTAACAGACGTTAACTAGACTTGTGATCATTTCACAATATATACAGATATTGAATCATTGTGTGGTACATCCTATACTAATATAATGTTATATGTCAACTATATCTCAGTTTAAAATAAAGATTTAACATAAATGAGCAAACAAATCAGCCAGAAAACACAAACTCAAGTAAATACATGTAAAAAGGCATGAAGTAAACACTTTCAAAAGAAAAAATAAAAATGGAATATAAACACTTAAAAATCGTCGAAGAAATTTAAGTTAAAACAAGATTATTTTGCCTACAATAACGGCACAGATTTTTTTTTTAAAGCTACATAAGGAAAAGTTCCGAAGGAGATGAGAACTTTCATATACTAGTGAAATAAAGAGTACATTGCTAGTGTTTTGTGAAATGCTT